CAAATTCAATGAAAATGATTCATTTATGTAAAAGTACATAAATTTGTGTCATGATGGACAAAAATGGATATCATTTTCAAACTCAGCATACAGGAATTATTGTATAACATGTAAAAATTTCAAGACAATAAAACCATCGCAGGCCTGTGTAATCATAACTATATAACAAACAATACTTTACTGTATAAACAAAGAATGTTTCACTTTGCTATCTTAATATGTATATTATGACACTAGCTTCAATGATATAAAACAGTAAACCCACACATACCAATCCTCTTCACTACCAGTTCCGAGTCGTCCTAGACTTCCACAACCCCAAGCATATGCATCTCCTTCTCCACCTACCACCACTACATGATGGGGACCACAACTTACACTTAAAACATCAACGCTGAAAGATAAGGATACCAGTATCACTCAAATGTCATACATATACCAAAAAATTCTGCTATGAAAAAGAGTGAGATAATATGCATACAAACAGAAGTTATCACTGATGGTACCAGTTCTAAGTTATAATGAACTAACTATAATGTTCTACTATAATGAACTAACTATAATGTTCTACTATAATGAACTAACTATAATGTTCTACTATAATGTTCTACTATAATGAACTAACTATAATGTTCTAAGCTATAATGAACTAACTATAATGTTCTAAGCTATAATGAACTAACTATAATGTTCTACTATAATGAACTAACTATAATGTTCTACTATAATGAACTAACTATAATGTTCTAAGCTATAATGAACTAACTATAATGTTCTAAGCTATAATGAACTAACTATAATGTTCTAAGCTATAATGAACTAACTATAATGTTCTACTATAATGAACTAACTATAATGTTCTAAATATAATGAACTAACCTCAAAAGTTTTTCCACGAGTTTTGGTTTACTAGAGCTATTCCAGTCCCCATAACCGAGGCACCCTTGACTACCATCTCCACAGGTCATAACTATGCCATTGTCACTAGAAAACACACTGAAACCATCACCGGCACAGACCCTAGTAAACAAACAAATCCAATATTTTTTTACATAAATACCACCACTGTAAATTCAATCACACTTATATTTCAACAGCAAGACTTTCAGGAAAAAAGATGGAGGGCTACTTCAGCAGCCCATACTTCAGGTAATAATAGTTACTTCATAATACACTTATAACAATCTACTTGTACTTCAACAGTCCATACTTCAGGTTATAATGGTTACATTTTGTAATACATTTATAACAATTTACTTGTATTTTAGTATCCTATACTTCAGGTTATAATTGTGAGTTTATAATAAATTTATAACAATCTACTTGTACTTTAGTATCCTATACTTCAGGTTATAAAGATTACTTCATAATACATTTATAACAATCTACTTGTACTTTAGTATTCTATACTTCAGGTTATAATGGTTACTTCATAATACATTTATAACAGTCATCTTGTACTTTAAGAGCCTATATTTCAGGTTATAATGGTTGCTTCATAATTCACTTATAATAATAAACTTGTATGTTAGTAGCCCACACTTAAGGTAATAATGGTTACTTTGTAATACATTTATAACAGTCATCATGTTATAATGGTTACTTTGTAATACATTTATAACAGTCATCTTGTATTTTAGTAGCCTATACTTCATGTTATAATGGTTATTTTGTGGTACATTTATAACAGTCATCTTGTACTTTAATAGCCCATACTTCAGGTTGTAATGGTTACTTTGTAACACATTTATAACAGTCATCTTGTATTTTAGTAGCCTATACTTCATGTTATAATGGTTATTTTGTGATACATTTATAACAGTCATCTTGTACTTTAATAGCCTATACCTAAGGTAATAATGGTTACTTTGTGATACATTTATAACAGTCATCTTGTATTTTAGTAGCCCATACTTCAGGTTATAATGGTTACTTCATAATACACTTATAACAACCTATTTGTTCTTTAATTCAAGTAACAATGCTTACTTGGTAATGCTCTTTTCTATTAGTAATTCTATACACTTTGGTTTATCTAACCAAGGTTCTCGAGTGCCATGCCCAAGTTGTCCTTTCTTTCCTTCACCCCAAGTGTAAACCATTAGATCATAAGTTAGAGCTATGAAGTGAGTGAAACTGACTGCAACCTGTTTGATAGAAAAAAAGATCATTACATTCCTTTTTTAACTGGTATAGGCATATAGTTGGTGAAGACACAGTTCCATTTAAAGTTATCTAAAGTACAGTTTAGATTGACTATTTGTGAACAACAAGTTTAATGTGTCCTCTTCAGTCCAAAAGTTGGACCAAAGAAAGCACACGTTGTCAAATCTTGTTGTTCTGAAATAGTGGAACTAAACTTTTCTTTTGGTATATGCATGTTTTATATTTGATGGTCTTGTAAAATTTATAATTTTCCTATACTGAAAATGTATTTCAAATAGGTACTTACCTTCTCTCACATAAATAGCTATTCTCATTCAGTGCTGACCTCTATATATGAAAAAAATTTTTGCAAATGCCACAAGCCTTGACACTCCCACCCATCTGTATAATTGATCATACCATCAGTAATTCAACTACAATCCAAAACCTGGGCATCGGGAACTGACATCCATGCAGGGATAGGAAAGAGAATCATACAATCTTCACCTCAAGTTCATGAGACCGGAGGGAATCTCGTACCCCCGACTTGTGAACAGGACATGTGATAGCAATGTGAGAAATTGATTGATAGATCCAGTAACCCTACATCAAAAAGATATCTCTGTGTAATGTAAACCATATCACTCAAACTCAAAATGACAGGAACCACCCAAAGTGCAGTAACATCCTTGGAATAATAAGAACATTGAGGGATAGCAGAAGGGGAAGAACCCTACTAATCTGCAAGTACCTCCACTGTGAATCACAACAAGGATGGAGTAACAAAAGTATACATGAGTGAGAGAACAGACATCTGTAATACATGAGTGAGGACTTATGTTGATTGATTCAGCTCTAGTGAAGCATTTTTAATAACTCAAAAAAGATTTGTCCACGAATATATTAAGTATTTGATTTGAATAGTCCGTGTACAAAGTGATTTTCATGTTATGATTAAAAATACTTTTCTTCATGTCAAATATCTCAAACTTCGTTTGTGTAATTTTTATATATTATCTTATCTGTTATTTCCTCTGCCTGAACTCTATGCAAGGTTGGTCAATTTGACTGACCTCAAAACCACCAAAAAAAATCGAAATTACCCTCTTTTTCTTTCTAGAATGACTTCAAATATAACACAAAACTACATTTGTTTATCCTAAGTAACTTTAAACTTGTAAAAGTATACAATTATTTATAACTAAATTTTATTGTTTTATTACCCTTTGAACCTTGTATAAGTACTATCCACACCATTATAAGTTGTAAGTCACTTAGGGATCATGCAGCTCACATTAAGCTATCAAATTACATTACCCACGAGCTACTATGAGCTGCTTGCATGCATGGCTCATGAAATATTTTTATATATTGTTATTATCATTATTCATCTTACCTAATCTAACCTTAAATAACCTAAAGAGATCCATATTTTTACATTTTAGTTACTTTTATAATTATAAATAAAGAATAAATAGAAAAAAGAAAAACAAGAAATAAAATACTCACCCAAATTTTTGTTTTTCTTTTGCTGTCGACTGTCAATGACACTTAACCCTAATTTTTTAACACTAATGGTAGTAATGCACTAAATAATTTTCATTTAATTAAATAATGTACCAAAGAACATAGACTAATAACATTCAGTTTTTCTGGCTTTCTAACTATGTGACAAGAGCCATTCAAGTTCATCTAAGCTAATCATTGTCTTTCCAATGGTAACGAAGCTTGTACTAAAAGACAAAATGACAATTCTCTGTTCAGAACACAATGTAATACAATACGTCATTTGGTAGATGAAAACCTTGGCTTTCTATTGGTTATAGATAATATAGAATTAAACATAAGAGAGAACTATTAACAAATCCTGAAAGAGAAGATGTGACAGGTGGGTGTGGCAGAAGGGATCTGATTTTCTATTTGATGGCTCTGTAACTAAACAAAATTGAAAACTATAAAAAATTATGGTTCGTCTGAGCAGTGACAATTTTATAGTGAGTAATTTACATTGAATTTTGTTCTTATTGGTGATGAATAAAATAGAAAAAATGGGATGCCTTTCTCACACTATGGGAATTTCAGGATTGTTTTTAAATATTGCTTTATAAAATTAAGAACTTAAAACATATATACTATTAAACTGTGGATTATTAGCTATGATTTTATGCTATACTAACTGGTATAACATAAACAAAAAGTAGTTTAATATAATTTTGAATGCAAACCACTAAAACCTCATGACATGTGCAGTAAATGATGCCTAGGCAGATAGAGTTAATTAAACAATTACATCACGAGGATAAACCTATAAGCGATCTTGTGGAACATCCCATCTCAACAGTGTGCATTTAGTGTCCATGGAATTATAATTGTTAAGTCATCATGGCCTTACATTGTAGCTTTTACTAGTTTAAGTATACTTGGATGGGCACCACTCGCCACAGAGTGAGATCCATAAAGAAAAAGAGGGACATGCCCCTGAAAAATAAAAGAAAAAAGAAATGTATACTAAAAAGTAACTTACTCAGTCAGTCTCACAAAAGAGTGAAGGATGGCAACAGATGGAAGATGGTATCTCAGCAAGGAAGATACAGCTACCAAAATGTAGAGAATGAGAGATGAATGTATGATGTGTAGTCCTAGTGAAGACACCAGGAATTGATGACAAGAAGAAGGATACAAGGAATAAAAGGCCAATCGAATTACAATACAAACCAAATGGGTCAGGGAGGAAGGAAAAGAATCACAGATAAAGCAGTGGAGTAAGGGAAGGAAATTGTGGGAAATTGATTCAAAGTAAAAAAAAGCTTGAAAACAATGAAGCAACCCAAAGCATGTACTGGGACCAACCGAGAAGAAAAGTGGAAGATGGCAAGAAATGGAAAAGTTGAAAGAAATATACAAAAAAAAAGCCATGAAAATGTAGGTTAATAAAAATGATCCAGCACAAAGGAAACAATTGAATCAAAACAGCAGAGAAACCCAGCTTTGTGCCGGCCAAGAAATCAATCAGATAGACCTGAACCGGAGTATCATGGATGAATAAACATTTTTGAAAAAAAACTGATGGAAGGAGAAAAAACTGACATTATAAATTGGATGTAATCCTATCTGAATATATTGAGAGTCAGGGCAAGAGGATGATGAACTAGAGGCCAAAAACAATAGAGAGAATTACCTGGAATGGATAAAAAATTCAAAAAATTCACGTGGAGGAGTACCCCACACGAGGAAGAGCCATCAAAAATTTGGAGGATAGAGAGGTCACTCCTTGGGAGAAATGTAACAGAACTGGAAAGTCAATAAGCAACAAGGACAAAAATACTTGGAACACGACCCTCAATTAGACATATGTTAAGTGAGTGGGTTTTAAAAAGGAGATCTACTATCTATCACAAAAGGAACAAGAATGAACAAGTCATAGAAGCCACTACATTGAATAGCCGAAATGAAACATGATTAGTTAAATTCAGACAAAATGAAGAGAGTGAATGAAGGTGAAATAAGACCTTTCACCTGGAGACCATAGTCCTGAAGCCTCCTACTGATTGAATCATATCCCCAACCATTGGAGATGAGCATCAGGGAAGAGAAATAATCCAGAAGATGAAGAGGAAGCGGAAAACCAGGCGTTGTAGGGAATATGATCATACAGATGAAGAGGAAAAGAAGAAAATTAAGAGAAAAATCAAATGGATGGTCCCAATGGAGGGGTGTTTAAAAATACCCACCCCAAAGAGACGAGAATGTTAGGTATTGAACAGGAAAAACATATCCAACTGGAAAATCCAACTACTCAAGATGACTGTGGAAGGAGTATATGATCAAGAAAATGGACCAAATCACATAGCGAAATAACCTAAGATAGTGTGTCGAAAAATGGAAAATAAGAATGTGTACTGTGGGCATTCCTAGATATGTAGAAATAGCAACCCAAATGTGATCAAACACTATGTAGGAAAGTGGAAAAGACCCAAGAAATAATTGAGATGGGACTGATAGATTCAAACCCCAAATAGCAACAAGCATACAAGAGGAATGGAGAAAACCCATAGGTAGGACAGGTAAAGGACGGGAAATTGCCAGAGATGTAAAAGATGGCAATATCTCAAAATTAAACAAAAAAGCAACAATAAAAAATTTAATATAGCATGGTAGATACCCCATTTGATGCTAAATTTACAGGAGAAGCCCCAAAAAATGGACCTGTGGAGAAAAAAATCTGACTGTAAGTCCCTATTATCAGTGGAAGGAAATAAACAGTAGCATCCCACACAAGAAGATCCCAAAAGGAAAGAAGCAACATGTGGAGGGAAAGAACTGAAGATGGCAAACCTCCCAATATGGAGAGAAGGAGGAGAAGGTATCCCTAAATACAGGTGGAACAACTCTGCAATCAAGAATTGGTGGCTCACTTCAAGTTATAGCAAAAACACATTCCTTGCTTTGGGTGTTTTAAAAAAAAAATTTATTACTTGTGTAAAAAATTGAAACTAGAAATAAAAGTGGTGAGATATTAAAAACAATATCATAATGATTATTTTTATCGGTTTACTTTCTTACTTCCTTAATTCTACTTTTTGGTGGTAGAGGCACAGGAAAAAGAGATATGTCCAGCTCATTTACTTGCACTCTGTAAAGTACAGATCTGAAAAAGAAAACAAAGAGGCTTTATCATCAAACATGAATGCTATTACAAAATGACAATTGAGCTCATTAGTAAACATTATAGTTAACTTGTGCCAAATCATTAATTGTATAAGTAAAAGAGTTTTTTTCTTTTAGATTGAGAACTTGTTGCTAGCCAATTGCTTTTTAAGAGCCAAAATAAAGATAAAAATGTATTCATGTTCAAAAGGAAGTTTATATGTTATATTAAAATGTTCTTAATTTTAAGAGCTTACTTACTAAAGTTGTCTATTTTGCATCACTTAAACTTTATGATAACTAATCAGAATTAAACAATGAAGTGTTTTTAATAACTTTCTTAGAATATATAGATTTTTATCACTATATATATATATACATTACTACAAACAATTGCAATTACTTGCATACAACAGAAATTGTAACAACCTAGAATAGTAATAAACTTAAACAACACTTTTCACAATTATGATTAATTTTTCTAATATTTAAGAGTAAATATAAAACTTCATATAAAACTTCCAAACAATGTTACAATAAACATTACAGGTACTTTAATCATATTACATCAAAGCATGTCAAGGTATATACACCTTACATAGCACACATCAACCCCCAGAATTACAAGCATATCAACTCCTAGAACTACATGCAGCAACCTCCAGAACTACACATCAACTCCCAGAACTATAAACATGAACCCCAGAGTTATCCAATTTAAAAATATTATTAAAAGATTTTTCATTTAACTAAATGTGCCTCATTAGACCCAACTCATAACAGAGTCATCACTTTGACAAACGTTTGATTGAACTGGAAATAAGGCATATAATACAAAAACTATATTGTTTGTGTTAAAATAAATTTATAACTTTTTTGCAAAATTCCAAAGATTTTAGCTTTATGCAGTTAGTAGTTGTTTCTTTTTTTTTCTTCTGTGACTGTGGAATCACAGGAAACCTGGGAGTGATAAATATGAAATCAACATAATATCAAACATTTCTGTGTTATGGACACAAAAATGACCAATGTTTCCTCAAGCTAATCTAGAATTAATTAAATAAATTACTTTTCCCAATAACTTGTAACACCCAGTCACTGAAGTTTGCTCTTTAAAAGTGACAAAAGTTTTCAATTATTTAAAATAACCTTATATATGACATTACAATGAACACTAGGAATAAATATTTCATCATTTTTAGTAAATTAAAGTATATGAAAGAAGGAAAATTGAGGGATTATACTAAGCAACAATTTTCTGAGTCTCAGGGGGATAATAAGTTTGCCATGATATGTGAGAATTAAAAGGTAATGATACTGGTGTATGTATCAAGTACACTTCTTACACCAAAGTTACTTGATTACAAGAATGTAAATAATTTGTTCTTCTTACCTTGGCTGTCTTAGTGTGCTGAAATAAAAGTTGCTCTAATTAATACACAAGTAATAAAGTATGTCAAAGAATTTCAGAAACACAAATAATCAGACCTTTAAAATCGTAACTTTTGTAGCATGAATAAATTCAAACATACAACTATTTACATTCAAAAATGTTTTAAGCAATATTAATGAGGGCATGCAGTGTAGCGGAACTATCAGTTAAAACTAAATTTAAAGAACAAACTGGTTTTGTCTTACACAAACATGGTTATATCTAGGATCTTTTTTTGTAAAAGTTCAGTAATGATGCAAACTTTCTTTTTATTTTGTCTTACACAAAACATACACATGTAATAATCAAATCATCTTTTTAGCCATCTGCTGAAATATTCTCACATCACTCGTACACCACATTTAGTATCTTTCATGTGTGCATCTATACAACACATTTAGTATCTTTCATGTGTGCATCTATACAACACATTTAGTATCTTTCATGTGCGCATCTATACAACACATTTAGTATCTTTCATGTGCGTATCTATACAACACATTTAGTATCTTTCATGTGTGCATCTATACAACACATTTAGTCTCTTTCATGTGTGTACTATTACTAAAAAAACAATGGATATCTGTAATGTTGAACCATATTGGTAATGCAAAGAAAGGCATAGTTCCAACAGAGAAAATCAGGTTAATCTACGACCAGGTGCAATCTAGAAATAGTGAAAAAGTTAAGCAGCTTGTCACCAGAAAACACATTGGTTTATTGCAGGCTAAAGTAGAAAACTCCTTTGCAACTGTAATCATGATAATTCACAAAGATTTAAGTGTACAAAGTGATGCAAGAGTTGTACTTAAAGGCTTCTCCCAAAGCACACAGCCAAACAGAAGAACAACCATTATATGGTGTACAAACAGTATTTAGCATGTGACACATGGAAGTGTCTTCACATTGGACACAACATATTTGTCCTGAAGTGTCTGCAAAAGTTTGTTAATCTGTTATTGATAGAATATTCTTAAAATGATACATAGTATTTTTAAGGGATTTATATTGGTTGCAGGTTACTGGTAGGTTCAACATCTGGAGAACCAATAAAAATGCCAAGATGAATTATGCATACTATAAGAACAATGCACTGACATCCCTATACAGGAAAGAAATACTATACTATATTTGTACATACTGGATGCCAATAAGATATGACTCCATCAACACCTCCAGCTCACCATTCCAGTTCTTTCGTAAGCCAAAATGGGAATTCATGCTTTACCATTCACAGACATTTCCCATAGACTTCTCTGCCCTTGAGGTTGCTTAAAAAGAATCTTGGAAGTTACAATTCATGGACTTTGGAAAGCTTTAGTGTATTGCACAAAAGCCTCCTGCTGTGTGCAGTGGGAATTGTACTAATAGCACTAGACTATAAGCACGGCCATCACATACAACACTACTGGTGGTGTAGGAAGCCTGAGTATTTATATATTTTTTACTGTTACCAGGGGCATAGCCAGAGTAAAAACAAATGTGGGTCACCACTAGTTTTTAGTTCCAAAAGCATTTATGAAAAGTGCTTTAGGGATGGAGAAATGACTTTAGCATATAGAGTAGGATTATGATTTTGCTTTGTATATGATTTGTTTATCTTTTCTGTTTTTTATTACCTGTAGGAGTAGTGCAATAAATTATTTCACTTTGTAATAGGGATGCACAGGTATTAAAATTGGCCAAATACTGAGTCCAGGTACCCGGTCACTAAGCTTCAGCTGGGCCCAGGTGTCAACCAGGACTGAGTTCTCCCGTTGCTAACCCCCTCTCCCCAAAAAAAACATACACAAAAATTAGAAACAAATTAAAATTGACGTTTATTGCATTTAACTGAATAATCACCAGCAGAAGATTCAAGTTTTAATTTCAACTTTCAATGCCTTGCCCCAACTTCTCAAACCCTAACCCCTATTATTTTCAAAACCTCCACCTTCCCCAGAAATCCTCTTCTCAAGCCATGCCTGTTATTAACTCCTATTGTTCTCTGAATCCCCACTTTCAGTGGGCAATCAGTCTTTGTTGCTTGGAACACGTTTTTTTTAAGTCAACCAATTACTGACTGTAACTTTCAGTACCGCGTTAGCTGCCACAAAGATTAGGGCTTAAATGCCTAACTTCTAGGCCCAATACCCAGGTTGGAGCCGAATATCTGACCGGGTATCTGTGCATCCCTACTTTGTAATAATAATAATTACCAAATTGTTGAATATAAAATGCAAATGTTTGTAAGAATTCCATAGGACACAATTTGATTTACTTACACAAAAATATTGCTTTATTTCATTTTGAGTACACAGTGAGTAATCATCTGTGCTTTTGTCACAAGTATCTGTTAAAAGATAAAACTTCTGCAAGCTGAGTATAGTTTTAAATAATGCTAAATGAATGCTTTTTCTTATCAACAGCCATCTACCAACATATGTATGATTTGTTTTGTTTTTTGTACTTTGCCAAATATGTCAAATTATAGCTAGAATTTTTTTCTCTCTCAAAAAAATGTGTGCGCCTAGGTGCCAGAAACCCAGCCTGTCTACACCCATGATTGTCACATTGAGTGGGAACACCCATCTGTAAACCTGTTAGCCCTTTCTGAATTAGGGAAGTGTCATTTACTTATCTCGATTTTTTTCTTTTAAACAGTGGATATACTTAACCAAATTAAATCAAACTTAAAATAAGAGAGTTGAGCATTCCAAACAGGGAAATGGTTTATTATATAGATTATTGAAATTACATTGACTAAGTAGAAATAAAACATGTATAATTATATTCTCAAAGACTCATAGTTTCTTAGCAAGTATATACCTAAATAGATAAAAAGCAGAGCTGTGTAGAAATGTACGTTTGAACATTGTGTCATTTTTCTTTGTGACTTATTTACTAAATAAATGTTACAACATGAAAAAAATTTCAATTCTAAAATATTTGGAGTAAACAGTTGTTAAAACAGAGCTAGAATTGTTGTTCTTACTTAAATTTTTAAACTTAATGTGCAGATGTGCACTTGATACCTGAAAGGTGCTGATTGGTTTGGATACAAATAATAATACCAGTGAATTTAATTATAGGCTAGGAATACCGCTTCGTGATGCACTTAAGTGTTTAAAGTTCACTAAAAAAAGGGGGAAATTTTAGAAATGTTCAGGTATATCATTAAGTTTGTGATCAGTAATTCTTCATTTGCCAAATTAAACTTTCAAAAAAATTATAAATAGGTAGTGAAGTAAAGATGCATCAACAAATGCTAGTTATATGTAAATAATGCTCCAAAGCAAAAGAAAAACTAATTTTATAATGAGTACATTCTCAAGAAACTAACATTTAACTGAATTAATAAAATATATAAACTTTTTGCACTTATGTATTTACAGTCTTATGTTTGTGAACCTTTAATGAATTAAATATTCTAAAACTCCTCAAAGCATATGATGTTATTTTCATAATTTTACCAAGTATTCCACATAGATTAACAATGTTATTTTCATATATTTACCATGTATTTCACATATATCAACATAAGTAGTTTCATAGAATAAATAGGTTATTTTAACTTATATGTCTATGTAATATTAATGGTTTTAGTTTACAAAATCTTTTCTATTGTTGTTGTTGCTAGGTATTGTAAATTTTGAAGTTCATACTTGCGTGAATCAGTTTTTCTTTTATCCACTGCTTCTGAATCTTTATCAGAATCATTTCTTTTTGGCTCAAACTGCTCAATTAACTAAATCAAATAAACAACACCCATTTCATAAGAAAATCATAATATCAAATCATGTATATGCTGAGAATTTAAAGTTAACATTATTCAAAGTTTAGACCGTTAATTTGAGTAACTGTTACTAAAAAAATATGAAAAAGTACATCAGAACAAAAATCAAAAGACTTACCAGTGGGTGAGGAGAAATATAAGGGTGTTAATCCATAATTTTGGGATGTCCAGGATAAAAATAAAGGGAAAAAACACAAACTGGCCCAAAAACGTTTTGACACTATAAATAAATAACAAAAAATCCAAACAAAGAAAGAAAATTTTAAAAAAGTTACAAAACTCAATCAAATAAAAAGAAAAAAAAAATGGACCTAACTTTCCAAAAAAACCAGACCCCTTCCTATGAATGAGGTTAAAGTTAACACCAAATCAAAGGAAAGATAACACCAAGTAGTTTACAGATTCTTTTCAATAAATTGTTACTAAATGTTGTAACAATTTCCTAAACACAAAGGTATTATCTAAGTCCACAATAGGTAATCTTAGGATAAACAAAGTATCCGTTAAACATGTATATGATGGAGTTTATTGGTGTTTATAAATTTTAAAGTTTTATATTTTAGTTGCAACACTTAGTTTTACTCACAATATAAAACATAGCTGAACAATTTTAGTGGTAAACCACTATAAACTATAGTAGCCACCATTATTCTTGTTTAAAAATTATAACAATTTTAGTGGTAAACCACTATAAACTATAGTAGCCACCATTATTCTTGTTTAAAAATTATAACAATTTTAGTGGTAAACCACTATAAACTATAGTAGCCACCATTATTCTTGTTTAAAAATTATAGGAATTTTAGGGGTAAACCACTATAAACTATAGTAGCCACCATTATTCTTGTTTAAAAAGTATAACAATTTTAGTGGTAAACCACTATAAACTATAGTAGCCACCATTATTCTTGTTTAAAAATTATAACAATTTTAGTGGTAAACCACTATAAACTTTAGTATATAACTGTGTAGGAAATTACATGTAGTGATTGTTGAAAGAGATAAAAGAAGTATGTTGTAGTTCAAACCACCAAAGACAAGAAAGAGTCAACTACAGATATATATTAATATATATATTATTGTGGATACAACGTTTCAGGTAATTTATCACTAATTGAACAGAAAAAAATAGAAAAAACATTATCATAATTCTTTATCCATTACAACTGCAACACATTTAGTACATGTCTTGGTATCTCCAAACATTTTTACTTCTAGCTTGAATGCAATGTTTGAAGTATATGAATTTACTTTTCAGTTATTGATACCTGAAGAAGGGCGTTGCCCAAAATGCTGTATCCACAATAGTATATATATTAAAATACATATATATACATGTATATATTTGTAGTTAACTTCTTGTTGTCTTCAGTGGTTTGAACTATGACATACTTCTTTCTATAAACTTTAGTAGCTAACATTATTCTTGTTTAAAAATGATAACAATTTTAACATTTGAAGCTATAAATTGTAGGCACATCCTCTGGTTTCTGCCTCTAGCAGCTCTAGTCTACCACCTATTTTAGTTCACCACTCTCTCTCTCTCTCTCTCTCTATTGGAATAATCTGTTTTCTCTTAATCGATGCTAAAGATGAATGAGACAGTCAAGTGATCCTCCAAAATTTGTTTGACAGCATTTAAGTTGTATCAGTTAGTTCATCTACAAATGTCAGTTTTATTGTCCCATTAGGCCACACACTGTTTGGACTTGGCATGTTTCTTATAGAGCAGAATCAAAAAAGCACATATGAAATCTACCAAGTATATATGATGACCACTCTTCTAACCCCACGTTAATGGTTGAATATGTAATCTATGATTGTCCTCTTGATCATTAACTTAGCTACAGACCTGTTGACTTGTGAATCCTTCTAATATGGCTAACTATGACTACTACAGTTTCTATATGAGGTGAAGAATGTTGCAATAACATTAGCAAAACTCAATGGAGTTTATCAAAGGTAAGGCTTAGCTGCTGTACGCAAGCAGCAACTTCAGTATTATTTACACCCTTTTAACATGCCCTACATTTTCATTATTATAACATCAATTGCAATGACACTTACAGCACTTCTTGAATATGGGGGTTCTCATCTTTCTTAATTGCTACAAGATGGTTTACTACAGCTGAATCTTTCAGATCCCATATGTAAATTCCAGCAAGAAAGGAAGAATATGTAGAGAATGTAAAAAGTGGTATTAAGAATTCTTACCAAACACTGTGGTTTCAAGAATTTTTCATTCAATGCCCTTAGGGACAAACTGGTTTGTGGATTAAGAAATTCAATGATACAGAAGAGGATGCTGATTGAAAAATCATTGAGTTATATATAAGCTTTTGAAGTTACAGTACAAGTAGAAATAGTTACGTAAAAGGTGCACTGAATCTTAATGCCACAATGATTTTGAAGGGGTTGGAATATTGGGTAATTAGTTGCTTCATATTGCACAATTATTAAAATTTCACATACAGAAACTTATCAGAACTGAAAATTTCTGTAATTATAATTGTTGATAAAATTATACTTCAAACATTACATTCAAACTAGAAGTACAAATACTTGGAGATACCAAGACCTACTAAATGTGATGCAGTATTAATGGATAAAAGATGATTATAATTCCTTTTCTATTTTTTCAAATTAGTATTCTTTTATGTGTATACCACTTTAAAACAGACCTATTATTTCAGCTGAATGTTACCTTACAGAAAATTCAAATATAATGAAAGATGAACACTCATTTACAGCAATTCTTTAGCACTATAAACCAAATTACAAAAGTAATGTCAAATTTGTAGGATTCTACATTCTAAACACTGTGGCTATAGGATAAAAAAATCTATATACTAAATTCTACTAAAAAAAATATAGAACTACATGAACAATCTTATAAAACAATAACTATATCTACAAGCTAAGACCTTGCAAAAAGTCTAAACTCTACATGTTAAAGCTTGGAAAAAAAGACTAAAACATACATGTTATACTTTGGCAAAAAAAAAACTAAAATCAACATTCTAAACCTTTATAAGAAACTATTACTAAGGTTTACCTGCTAAACCATAGAAAACACTAAAATGCTCAACTCTGTAGTACTAATTTCTATCCCTTTACTTAAAAAGTAAAAATTTTCACATTTTTTTATAGTTCCTTAAGGAATGAATTAAGTCTTGTATGATTCTCTCACAGGAATAACAACAGTGTTTTTTATTGCCATGCCAAGTTATTCTTGTTAGAAAATCATATGATATTTGAAAGTGTACCCACCCTTGGTCTTTACTGTCTTCTTGTGTTACAAGCTTGAGAGTTTATTGACACAGTGTTGGGGTTTAGGACAGCATATTTTTACAAGAGAATTGCACAGATTTTACATCAGACATACAATTATTAGTTACATATTTAACATGGATTTATGTAAATTTTTGTGTTTTTTTATTGTAAAAGCTTGTTGAGTAGAAGCCAATAGTTTCCTTGTATTTCACATTGTGAGAAGTCTTAATGTCTTTGCATTAAAATTATGTATTTCTGCAAATCGGCACCTTTTCTTTCATTTTATAACGAACTACCTCCTAAGTTCTTATGCTGTATTAGGCTTTAACCTTCCATGAATGATAGTTAGCTTCAATAATTAAAGGAATTACTCTGTTATATAAACTTAAAACTTATTTGTCACCGGATATACAGCATTTCACCAAGTTAACCTGACATTATCAGGTGTGACAACTACAAGGAATGTACTCCTGATCAAGATACTAGTTTTTCCTATTATCTATATCAGGAGCTCACTCCTTGTAGCTGATGCTGCCAGGTTAACCATAGAAATTATATTCTGTATATCCCA